GGGGGGGGGGGGGGGGGGGGGGGGGGGGGGAGTGACTGACTGAGGCCGGTCCCTGAACCTTTACGCTGAGGATCAGTGCGTGCTCAGCACCAGAAACCAACTGTACACGGGCAAGGAGTTTGCACGTGTTGCCTCCATAAATCCTTGCCTCTTTCATAATATACGGCCTCAGTGCCACTTCAAGAGGGCTCAAACGAGCCACAAACCCGCCTTTACATAACTCCTCACACTTCAGCCTCACATGCTGCTTTTCATTTCCTTTTCATTTAGTTTATATCCATCATTTTCTTGCGCCTGGTTAGACAAGACCAGTTTTAAAAGACAGAAAATCACTTTTTCTGTCACCTGTCCTAACGTTTTTTATTCTATTTTCTTTCCACAAAGTCCGATTGGCTTCAATCCGCCCGCTTTGTATGAGCACTCCAAAGATGTGACATGGGAGACACGACCCTGTCGCCAACTTAATGTCTAGAATGTTAAATTTGTGTGTTAGTTGCTGAGCAAGCGATCAGTGAGTAGAGACAGCTGCCAAGACAGGGAAACCTGGGAAAACTAGAATATTCAATCAATAACAAACATGACTAAGAGTATCTAAGAAGTATGGGAATCCAATTCCATATTGTGATAAGGCCTAATTAACAACTGAAAATCAACTGGTGTTTTCGGTCATAATTCCCAGCCCAAATTCCAAATTCCAGATCTGAGTTAAAAAAAAAAATGTTGTGGTGTGTGCGCCCTGATATCCGTCCGCTTTTTAGCAGCACGCTGCGCTTTGAGCAGCTGTGGAAAAACGTTCCCCCGCCGTGACGCCATGAGCACAGTTCACTGACCTGCATTTTTGGCTGGCGGCAGGACAGCAGATGCTGGCAACCATTAACTAACACATATCGCAACTTAGCTGCTTAACACTGGCACCGTCTCATTCGGTCTGTGTCTTTTCACCAGCGGCACAGACAAACACACACACACACACACACACACATTCTCTGACGGTGTCATTCTCTTGCCCACGTGGGAAGCTAACTTAATATACACAAGCACCGGCGCACACAAGCCGGCAGCATGCGCTTCCTATTATTCCAAAAGCGGATGGCAGCGTGACCTCTGACCCGCTGGCAGAAGGCTCTTTTAGATACTCCCTGGCCTTTTTCACGCTTCTTGTCCTGCCCCTGAACAAAGTATTCATTAAGTGATGGCTCAGTTGCCTCGTCACAAACCAACAGAAACCACCCAGGCATCCAGCCAGCATTAAAACCTCATTCTCTCTCTCTCCGCTTTCGCCATCTGGTGACGCTCACATGCACAGCGGCTGGCAGCGTTATCATCAGAGGCCCTCGCGGTGACAGGGCCCCCGTTTGATCACCTTGCAGAGTAAATATAGGCTAGCTTACGTCGAACTGTGGAATGTGAGGCAACGCGAAACACTCCTGATGCCAAAACCCTCCGCTTTTTCTTTTTTTTTCCCTAATTAAAGAGGTTCAGCTCCTCACGGTTTGCTCTGCCTCCACTGACGATAAACAGTGATTACTGCAACGAGCTCATTAAAGTGCAGCAAAGCCAAGTTTAAAGGTTTGCAGCTGTTTTACAAGCCAAAAAAGGCGCAATTACTTCGTTTAAAGTTCTGAATAGTTATCCTTGCTCTTTATTTTTTCCTCTCCCTGAGACCTGCCGTCAGGGCAGCTAAGCGTTCGTGGGCCCGGCTCATCTGTCCAAAAGGAGGATTCCCCAGAAAAACACAAAGCCTCTCTTCAAAAATGAGCACGCTTGACACTTTTCCTTTGGCCTGACGATGGTTGCCGCCCAGCCCCTCTTAGGTATTTTCATGAGTCTATATGTATTCCTCCTGGAGATGGATGGGCTGGGTCAGACATGTCGGAGCCGTAAAAATCAGAAATTCAAATGCAAACTTGTGGATTTAGTACGATGCATGCATCTCAGGGGATATACACAGAGAAAAGCGCTTGCAGAAAAGTAGAAAAACAAACAAAAAAAAACCCTTAGATTCGATTGTTAAGACCGACCGGAGGCAGCGCTCATTTCCGCCTAGGAAAAAAGAACGGGGGGGGGAGAGAGTGATAACGCCCGGGCGTTTAACTCAAGGAAGCCAGGACCGCTGTTTAATGGTCACTTGTGTAAACGCTGAGTTAGTCTCTGCCTCTTTCCGGGTTCAAACAATTATCAGGCTGACCAAACATGACCCGAAAGCACTCGAGGCGCTCACACCATGACCCCGTTACCTGTGGAAAATAACCACTTTGCAGCTTTATAAAAAAAAAGAAAAAAAAAGGAAAAAAGAAAAAAAAGAATGTCCACAACAGATATGAAAAAAATGTTACCCACATTCAGCACAAGAGGTGACAAATAAAAAAGGGGAAAAAACGTCCCTTTGGGCCTTAGATGGGCCTGATCAAAGTCAGAGACGAGCCATCAGGGTCCCGCGGGCCTGTGGCGGGGGGGGGGGGGGGGCGCACCCCAGAGAGATGCTCGTTTGGGCGGCGTCTTGGGCACGCCGTGCGGCCCGGCGTGCGCGGCTCTGACCAGATGCCGCGCCGCAGTCCGCGGGGAGCTCCAATTAGCTGCCTGTTTACGGACAACGGCAGCAGGCCGGGGCCGAACGTGACCGCACGCGGAGGGACAACACCCCCGAGGCACGTGCACTCCGGAAGCAAATCAACAGGAAAATTCAGGCCTTGTTTGATAGTGAGGAGTTAAAGCTGGACCCGTTGAGCTGCGTCTGACTTGCAAATGCGACGAGTAAAACACCATCAGAAACTTATCAAATGTGTTTTATCCCTCCTCTCATCGCAGAGATCCATCCATAAAATCCAGCCGGGCTTTTAATGGTTACCCAGAAAGGAGGAGTGTGTGAAACAGTGAGAGAGGCTGCCTGTTTTCTCTCGCAGATAATAAGGCGATACAATAAGGGCTGGGTTTGGCTAAAGTGAGCTGGATTTTCCTACCAACACTCAAACGCACATCTCCCATTTTAGGATTCTCCAACACGACCCTCCCATTAACTATTAAAGCCTTGTTCCCTATTCTCTCTTTCACTCTCAGCCGCAGATTTTTGGCTTCGGTCTCCGGGGTGTTTCCCTCTGTTCTCTGCCCACTTCCTGCAATGCCTTTCTGAGGAGTTTCCCCCTCTGAGGTCGCCCACCCCCCCCTTCCCCACCGACTCAATTTTTAACCCCCTAGCTGCTACTTTTGGTCTCTACACTTTCCTTACCCTCTGCTACCAAACATTTAGCTTTCTTCTTCCCCATCATCACCCTTTATTTCTCATTGCATGTCCCCTTCTCTCCAATCTCCAAGTACTTTATACTTCCCGTTTCTATGTCTCTCTCCAGTGAGCAATAATGGAGAAAAAAAAAAGATACAGAGAGATGTCAGGGAATAGAAGATAGGGGTTGCTTCTGAACCCCCCCCGGGAAGCAGGCGTGCGGCTCACCTGAGCTGTCCCAGGTTGTAGTGGCGGGTCTCGCCGTCGGTGGAGCGCGTGACGCTCAGGGAGAAGCAGGGCTGCAGCTGCCGCAGCTCCAGCAGCACGATGGCCAGGTAGTGGATGAAGAGCAGGGCGTCCACCAGCGACACGGCGTACTGCACGATGCCCTGGTAGTTCTCGTCCTGCGAAGGTAGGGACGGCGCGGGGGGTCATTTTGGGGCCAATGGAACGGCAGCGCTCGTGCAAAACGCGCGATCAACAGATGATGCAAAAAGAGCAGAGAATCCGCGGCTGGGTTTGCCCCTGGAGGGGGCCGAGCAGCAGATTAAACACAGTGACACTAGATGTAGGGCACGTGAATATTAAAATGCATTTTAAAAGTCTCCAGGGCTCTCAGACCGTCTATTTGCATGCGTTTCCCCCCAAGCATTCCGAGTGATGGATCAACAGGGATATGATATTATGACTAACAGGAATCAAATAACTCCGCTTTGGTTGTTTATGGTACCGTTAGGCTCCGGAAGGCGCTGAAAATGAAAGCAATAAATATCCGGAGATCTAAGTGCCTGGTGCATGCTTGTGGCTCCTCGGAGAGTCGGACGATAGCGACGGCCCACCTGCGAGTCCAGTATCCTGACGCTGTAGAAGAGCCAGTAGGACACCACGAAGAGCAGCACCAGCACGGCCAGGAGGATCCGGAACACGAAGGCCCGCGGGAGGCTGGCCCGCGCCGGCCGGAAGAAGAGCGCCCAGACGGCCAGCAGCAGGATGAGCAGCTTGAAGGCCACCGAGATGAAGAGGCCCTCGCAGGCCGTCCCGCAGCTCTGCAGCTTCTCCGGCCACAGGAGGTGGGGCAGCACCAGGAAGGCGAGCGGCGTGAGGAACACCAGCAGGCCCAGGATCACGGCCAGCGTCCGGGCCAGGTACCGGCGGCAGTCCAGCCCCACGCTGTCCTCCAGGTCCTTGGTGATGCGAACGATGTCCTCCTGGGAGAGGCTGTGCTCCGAGGTGCCCGTGACAGCCGTGGTGGTCTCGCCCCAGTTGTCATCCTGACCATATGAGGGAGAGAACCAAATTTAAATCTACAGGAGGGGGAACACACCATAAACTGCCCCCTTCCCCCCATTCCCTTTCATTATCGCTCTGCTCTTGACCCACAAAAGCCAACCCTGTCGCATCGTGAAAGGAGCAGTTTTAACAAGTGGAAGTCCCACTCTGTTTCCAAGCAGGTGAGAAAGAGAGAGGAACAGAAAAGGGGGGGGCGGGGGGGGGGAGGAAAAAAGTGAGGCGAGCGGGCCAAATGGGCCGTGCGCTGACGTCTGGGTCCGACTGCTTCCGCAGATAGTGAATGTCGGCCATGTCTGTTACAACAACACAGATAAGGGGCTCTTTACAGGGCAATCATAACAAGCGGCCGGCGTGACCCCGATGAGGGGCCGAGCGCTGCTCACCCCAGCAAAAAATGTCTTTAAAAAAAAGGGGGGGGCACTATAAAAAAAGTTTAAAAGAAAAGAAAAAGAAACAAACACACGAAACATGTATTAAGGACTGTTTCTGTAAAGACGTGGGCACATGCTGTGGAGCACATGCCATAAAACCACCTTAGAGTGAGGGGAGCTGGGAGGAGGAGGAGGAAGAGGAGGAGGAGGAGGAGGAGGAGGAGGAGGAGGAAGAGGAGGAGGAGGATGCAGCACTGGGATGGAGAGTCTCCTGCTGGCCCCCGGGTTAAAACAGCAGAGATAAAGCAGAACAATGGGAGGACCCAGGCATTATGATCAGTCGGGGTTTGAAAGCAGAAAAAAGGCTGCTATTACCCTGAGATATCTATTTATTCAGTAAGAAAACAAAAAGGATTTATTCCTCAATTTCTCTTTTATTTTTAATGTTTCACAACAGACTCTTTGCTTGCAGGTCAAACATTCAAAACCTGCACAAAACAAAAAAAAACATCAACACTGCGAAACGGCTTCAGAATATGTTTTGACTCTGGGCTCTGCCGGGTTAGTGTGAGCTGAGGGGAAACAGGAATAGAGTTCAGTTGAACTGCTTCAACTTTGCTTGTCACCGTGTTTTATTCACGCTGCTGAGCTTCTGGCTAGATCTACAGTCTGAATCGCAGGGTTATGATCTAGTAAAAGAAAAAAAACAAGTAATCCACGTTGGAAACGGCAGTCGGTGACATGTTAACCACCGCCCATGGGCTTTGATGAGCCCCGGCTCTCAGGAGCTGTCTCGGGTTCCTCTGGCCTTTGACGGAGCGCGGTAAATATTCCTGTCACAGTCTGGGGAGAGCCAGGCCTCCCCGCTGACCCGCCTCGTGAAAACTAAGGCGGACCCGCGGAATGCAGGACTCGGGTTCTCAGAGACCAGCACATGCTACCACATTCCAGCGGGCAAGAGGACACCGGGTACACAAAAGGAGTCCCTGCCTTGTTTATTTATGGAAGCAAATAAACTGAAACGAGGTGTTAAATGTGAGGTGGGAAAAGAAAACATCAACTCAGGCACAAATTTATTTACTGGAATCTAAAAGGATTAGAGAGATGAAAACATATCTGACAGAGAGGCAGGCGGTTTGTGGAGGTGCTTGTTTGTGGAACCGAGCAGAGAAAGACAGCCCGTTGGTCAATAGAAAGAGATGGGGACCAGAGCGATGCTCAACTGAGACCTCAGCAACAGGTTTTTTTTGTTTTTTTTATTGGCATGAAGCAAACATCCCCCACAGGGAGCTAAAGTAGGCAAAGCCTCGTTAGTTTCCATTTGTATTAGCGGGGCTTGACTTAAAAGTACTCTGACAGAACCAAAGATGGACAAAATGTGTTTTTTTTTAAAAACCGGTCAAGGTTCCAAGGACTGGAATACTTTAAAAGGGTTGTTTCCCCCTTCACAGCCCTTCTGAGCTGTGGATCTCTCTTGTTGAACAGTTTACAGATCGTCAATCCTGTCTGACTGCCGTCTTTCTGTTTGAGGAAGAATGCTGTGTGTGAGTGTGTGTTTGTGTGTGATAACGAAAAAGGAAATCGATAACCATTAGGTTTGAGAGAGAATGCCTTTAACCACAGCGTACCTCGACATCACCCGGGGGAGGCGTGACACGCAGCATCTCCTCTTCTAGCCGATATACACTCGTCACTAAGAGGTTTTCTCTCACCGCCGCGAACAACAGGCACTTCAGGCCTCTCAAGGACTCCATCCTTGTTTTTACAAGCCATGAGGACTCACAGATGTGGCCGGCCTTGGCCATGTTTCAGTTTTTTAAGGACCGGGAGAGTGCTGGATTAATCGGAAAAGTAGATTTTGCTGTTGGAATTCTTCCTGCTGTACCTGGGTTTCCCCACAGCCACCATGCATAAAAAAAAAAGACAAGCAGACATCACTGACCCACATTTCTTTACGGGATTGACCAATCAACAAAAGGCCTGATCTGGTTCGCTGCCAAAAGAGCCTTGCTTGCAAGCCCAGCCCCATCCATCACCTGAAAACAAGGGGAAACCGAGAGGAACAGCGAGGGGACGGGTTAGCAAGAGGAGGGGAGAGGGGTGTGGGGGGGGGACAGACGTTTCAGCAACAAGGCAACCAATTAGGGGCCGGGAGGAAAACTGATCCAGAGAGGATGGGAAAGTAAGAGAAATCCTCCTCTGACCACCAAATGCACAGCAACCTGTCAGCTCTGCTCTTGTCCTACATCGCTACATTCTTTTGTCCTGGATTTTTTTTTTTTTTTACAAGCCATTCCTGTTCAGTGGAAGGAGCCGATGCATGACCCTCTGAGGTTAACAGCCGAGTAACATGCTTGAAGAACTAGGAAGCACTTCTATGCTTCCTGCAGAGCAGTGCAAGAGGCTCTTTTCTTTATGTTCTTCCTATACAACCATAAAAACAGGTGTGGAGACACCATTAATGCAGCGCTGAATCCCCCCGCCCGGTCTTGCAATGTGAAAATGGCCCAGAAGGAAGAGTGAAACGCTGTCGCCTAGATGTGAGCCTGGTGTCTTAATGGATACTAAAATGTTCCATAGGTCGGTGTTAAGTTAACTGTTGTCCAAGATCAGAATGGAAAAAGCTATTTGTTCCCAAGTTGTACAGTACGAGTGGAAACACAAGCCGTTAAATATGGGCACAAAAAAAAAAAAAAAAAAAAAAAGTCCACATTATTTCTGCCATATCCTTGGACCAGCTGCAGAATGGAATCCATTTACACGGCACTAACAAAAGCAAAACTAAAGAGAGCGTGAAAAAGCGAGCATAAAGAAAAGCCGTGTCTAAAAAGGGCGCTTATCTCCGACTGAGGCGGGGATCCACAACGGCAAAACATATCCGAGCGAGAGATCTCTCCATCGTATTCCACCCAGTAAGAGATATGGCAGCGTTAGAAATGCCTGAGCAGAACCTGCGTCAGAAATGCGGCGGAAAAGTATTTATTTTTCTGCTAAATATCCATGAAACAGCAGCTGCTGACACACGCACACACACTTAAATCCAGTTTCCCCTTGTTGGCCTTCAAGTGGAGTGCAAATAAACCCCCCCCACCCTCGAACTGCACTCCTGGGAGCCAAGGTGTGTGCGTCTTTCTATAAGATACACATTAGCGTCATGCACTCCCAACGAAGAAGGAGAGAAGTCGAGGCAGTCCGACGTTCTGGTGGCTCATGGGTAGTTTCTGCTGAGTCTTCTTGTCATCTACCCACGGGATTTTTTTTTTGTTAATGCCCGCAATGCTTAACTCTGCCCATGTCCCAGCAGATCAGAGCCGATCCGCACAATATTCCACATTCGAATAGACAGACTAGACTAATGGTCCCCATTAGCTGGCAGTTATTTGAGCTAAGGTGAGTTGACAACTTACTTTATCTTTTTTTCTGTGGTTGGCCACCCCAGCCCAATTTCAGATATGTGCGATATATATAGAAGTTGAGTCAGATAAAAGCTTAACTGACACAGAAGACAAAAAAAACAACAGATTTCAGTTCAAAAGGCGGTCAGAGGAGCCTCAAACACCAGCGCCTTGTTTCCGCGTGGGCTGCCTCCACAAACATTTCAACTAACAGCACAAACAAGGACGGCTCATTTGATTATCTCCCCACAAAACACACACACACACACACACACACAGACAGTTGGACAAATAAGCGGTGTACTGCTTCAAGTTTCTGCCCGAGCGCACGTGTGTCTTAGCTCATGCAAATGATTTCATTAGGAATCAAAGCAACGCTCGGTGTGAAAACCAAACATCTGCTGTCTACCCAAAACAATCAGCCCGGCCCATCGTCCACGTGCCACTGCATAGCTTTCCCCCTCCAGGTGCGTACCAAACCACATCGGGGCAAAAATGGCATGGCCGATGGCTCTTACCTGGCTCGTCTTAGCCCCTGACCCGCAGCTGGCCGCTGGGGGGGAGTTCCTGTTCCAGTCTCCTTCTATGGTCGCCACCACCACCTCCTTCCACTCCTCCGTGGTGCCACAGACCTCAATCACCTGCAGAACTTCCTCTTCCACCTCCATCGCTGCTGCGTCAAGAACAAATAAAACTGCAACCCACCGCCGCCAAACCCCTACACTCCACACTGCCTAAACTCGCAAATGTCCCGGCTCCACGATGCTCTCCTTCTCCCGATCCATCCCAGAGTGCGGATCTGCGAGCGTGACCTGGCTGACTCTCCGGATCCGCCGCCCGCACTGGTCCGTTCCCTATATAGAGATCCCTGCCATCATGCCTGGGGCTGTACTGTATGGGGACCGTGCGCTCACTTGGCACATAATGTGAGGGGCTTTGTGATGAGAGACGACGAGTGAGGAGGGCAGGGAAGATGAAGAAGAGATGGGAAGGGAGGAGTGAGGAGTGAGGAGGCAGTCGTACAGGCTATCCCGACAGCAGCCGGAGTGAGGAGGGCGGGAAAAGAAAAAGACGGGTAGATGGGTAGAGGAGGAGAAGAGAAAAGGCAAAGAAATCCTAGTCTGGCGAGGAGGTTAAACAAATAACACACCAATCAGGCGCCTCTACCATCCACATCAAGATGTGCTTCTCCCGATCCGCTCCTTTTTTTCTCCCCCCTCCTTCCCCCTCTTCCCCTTAAGGCAGCCTCTCTCACGCTCTTCCCCGTCCTCTGTTTGGCTCAGCACCACTCTCACTTCATTGCTTCTGACCCAGTGAGCACCGCGGCGTCGCCGTGCCGCCCGTGCACGCCTCTGTGTGCGTTTGTGGGACGGTGGAACACAACCTGTAAGTCCAAGGAACTAGGGGGAATGTCTTCTCCTTCGGGAAACGCTCAATGGATGCCTTGTCTTGTTCGAAAGTCATAAAAAGCCCAACTCTGCGTCACGCGTTTCCCTGAGTGACGTTTTACAGTGTAACTGTAAATTAAGAGACCTCTGTTCAGTACAACTACGAGAAGGATGGCTCTTTTGGGAGAGTCGCAGGAGTCCAACGTGAACTCTTTTGTAAAGCAAAAGTGTTCCAGAGCCAGTTGTGAGGCCATCTGTCCGACAGCTAAAGCTGGGCAGAAAGGATCCCCAAACACAGCAGAGCAAAATTTACAGCAGAATGTCAGAAGGAGAGAATAGTCCGATCATCCAATCCAAGTCCGGGCTTCAACCTTACAGAGACGCTGTGCTCTGACAAGTATCTGCACACCTCAATGACAGCATGGAAGAGAAAGCTAGACCAAACATGCATCCACACTTGATAATGTTGCACAGAAAACTCTTACTTCAAGAAATGGCTGGAACAGGTGGATTTGCCAGCAGCTGTATTCAGGGATATTGTAGAGTTAGAAAGGCTTTTTTGATCTCAGTGGAATAGAAGTCATCATGATACCATGATTGACAAAGAAAAACAACAAGAGAAAGGGCGATAGTTCACTAACAGCCACGAAAAAATGTGTGCAAAAGCCCAAGATTAGGATATCTGCCCTTACCTGAAGAGACTTCCTATAAATAAAAATATATAAAACTAATTGAGTTCTATGAAATATTCCTTTTGTCTCTTTCCTTGGAGCTTGCAACAAGCGAAGACACACACACGTACACACATAAATAGCCAGCAGGAAGAGCGCGAAGCTCTGCGGGATTCTGTCTCACAGGAAACCGAGCCAGGGAGGCACTCACCAGATAGAAGGGATCCCAAACATGGACGCAAGCTCTCTGCCTCCTCCAAGAACTCGCCATGCCTGCCAGAGCAACTAAACCCCGTTGAGAGTCTAAAATGATCGGCGCAACTACCTGCGCGCTGGTTTGCAGAGCAATGCTGAAGTGGCTCTTCCTGAGCCCCTAACCGCCTAACGTTCAGCTCTAGTTGGCAAACAGCTGCGATCACAAAGCAGATGAGGTTAGATGGGCTGAATGAACAGTTCAGCGGGGAGGGTGGGAGCATGGTCAAACAGTTTGGGGAGTCAAGGAAAGCAGAAAAATGGGAGCGCGCTGAGCGCCGTGAGAACATGTGGGTTAGGACACCAGTGACCTCACTGTGCAGATGCAATGTGCAAACCAGCCATGGTTGGAACAATCCGGGGCTCCCTTTCTGAAGGCACCACTAAAAACATAGATGGAACGCCTTTATTCTGACTGCTGGCTACGACAGCAAAGTGCTCACTGTCAGAGAATGCTTTAGAGTTTAAACGAGTATCACATTCCTCCCGTTTGACACATCAGACAATCGGCCTCCCCAACACGCCGCAAGGCCGCGCCGGCTCCAGCTGCTTCATCACCCCCTTTCATCAAACCGCAATATCCAGTTCCACGCGACAATAACAGCAGGATGAATTTGGCCCAATTACTCACCAAGTCAGCGTCAGTCCATCAGCCACAAAGTCAATATCTCAGCCTTACTCACTCCCTCCGTCATTCGCAGACATCCAGCGGCGCAGAGCACAGGAGGACCAACTCCAGGCAATCTGAGAGGTTTTTGCACACTTAAGTCATTAGCACACGGCCCCTGGAGCTGTCAACCAGCTCCTGAAAGTGGAGCAACTAGCTCGCAGGGTTCTGTTCAACCTCATGTGATGATGGCAGCAGTTTTTTTCCAGCCACAAGCTGCAGATGCAGCCTGAAGAACGAGGCCCGGGCCGCCTTCTGATGTGTGTGCGCGAGACCGGGATCCTCCAGGCTTTTTACTAAGAGATCACAGCTTGAAAAAAAAAACGTTCAGGCGATGCTTTTCCCCCCCATACTGCACAAGCGCACTGGGCAGGGTGGAAAACCATCTCCAAAACCGTTTCCCACGGTGAGACATCCCAGACGGCGCGGTGAGAAACCATTCTGCCGGATAGTGAGGACATCCCTGCCTGAAGCCATCCCTCAGCCAGGGCTCCAGTTAAGCCCCGTCAGCGGAGTGACGAGAGCGGAGACTCGGAGAGGGGAGACTGACGTGCGCCGACAAGAAAAACATTCACGGGCCCGGGCGCATTGGGAGAATCAGACGAGCGAGGATTTACGCTGAGCTCCATTCTCAGCAGAACATAGGGGCCCCGATTACTCCAAATTGAAGCCAAAAGCCTCCCCGCCCCGTCAGTGGCAGCACTGCAGGCCGTGGCATGAATAAGAAATGAGCTGCAAAGTACTGAGGATGGCAGTGCTGTGTGGCAAATCCTGTCGTGTGTTGAAATTAAACACAGAACGCAGCGCACACACACACAAAAAAAAAAACACAGTCGCAGAGTCTGCTAACAAGCCGTGCCACAACAGGAAGCGAGTGCCAAGTAGGTCAATAGCTGATGCTGGGTAGTCTGCGCGTGTATCCGCCATCCCCCGGCCCCCCTGCAAAACTTTGGCCAAACACATGACGACAAAAACACAAACAGACAAACAAAAAGAAATCAAGACCAAAAGGCGAGGCTGTGTGCTGCTTTGCAGGGGGACAAGAAAAGCAGGGCTTCAGTCATAGTGTCAAAGCTCTGTGATACGCTCAGCTAAAAGATTACAATCTGTCATCAGAGACTGAGCTTAGATAAAACTCGGGAACAAAAACAACTCGCTCGGCCGTGACGCCGCAGAGAACTGGCGGTCCTCAGGTGTGATAAGCACCGCTGGTTCTGCTGCGCATTCCAGCTTGCTCATTAAAAAAGAAAAAAAAAACTCTATCAAAGGTTCCAGGCTGCTGATCGCGAGCTTACTAGTGAATATTAGAAAAAAAGAAAAAAGGATGAAATGCTTTTCCACTTCCATATTGCCTAGTGTCTGTAAGTTGCAGTCAATATCAACAACAGCTGTGGTGGACATCCAAAGAAACACAACTGGGATTGTCCTATCTAAATATCTGGGATGTCAAATCAGTTGATAGTTAGCGGTTTAAAAAAGAAGAGGAGCATCAAATCAGTTTACAGTGACCAACAAAAATGCGAATTACATAAACTACGACAAAAAAATTACTTTATACTTGCATGACTATAAAGCAAAAACTATATAGCGATTCCCAACAGATTAGGCCTGTAAACAGACTGCATCATGGAAGCCACTTCTTCTTCTAGGAAGGCATAATGAGAGACAGCGACACAGACTATATGTTCCAGAGTCCATTCAGGGCGCATTCCATGTCATTGTCAAACAGAAACACTCCTTTACCAAGTCTGCCTTTAAATTCTTACAATGCACAGTCAAGCCTTTTTTTCTTGTTCTTTTCTGCTCGTGACAAACAACTGGTGGCTCAATTAGAAAAGCTTCCCATTCTGGTGTACATTAAGAGCAGCCTGCAGGGGAATTTCTTTCTTCAACTGTCAGCGTAGCTTATTTCTAAACTTTCCTAGTCGTTTTATGTAACTTTTCCCCTGAACTATATGTCACAAAATGCTCTCTGTTCATGCAGCTGTTCGTGTAAGCCGAACCAAAGAATCACCAACAGGCTGTTGTGGTTTAAGGGGGACATGATGAAACACGCTGCTTGACAATGATTCAACTTCTGTAAAAAAAAAAAAAAAAAAAAAAACACAGAACATTCTCTCCTGTGAGATTGAGTATGAAAAATAGAACACTTGAGAATAATTGCACAGGAGAATGTTATCGCTACTTGCTTCACAGACGATTAAAGGAGAACAAGTAAAAAAAAACAGATTATGTTGTGGGTTGAATTTTGCTGTGAGCAATTGTCCGCTGCTCATTTCAATTCACCGTGACTGTTATTGGACTGACAGCTCCTGTATGCCTCATGTGCTACTGTATTTCATGTCTTAACGGGCCATCCGGCGGGAACCAGCTCGGCTGCCATGTTATCTGATCGACCTGTCTGTTTTTTTAAATCTAAATTCGAGTAACTCAATCAAATGTTGGTGAATGTGAAAGACGACTCCTAAGACTTTCTAATATGTACCAACATTGACTCAATGCAGCAGAACGCATCTAGTTATTCCTGATGTTTGCCAAAATGTGAGGCTTGTATCGCTTTCTTACCATATATTTCTCTTTTATGAAATAATCCATGACATAATCCATGTTTTGATCTTGTATTTGCAGGCATCCGAGTTGGCATATTCCCCCTGTGGGCAGTTTGAAGTCCGACTGACAGTCAGAGGCTGCGGCTCCTGCTTTGGCTTGGCCTGATCCATTTCAGGAGGGACCACAGAGGCCGCTCCTCACATTGCAAACGCTCTCATCCCTAACTGTCCCGCTATTGCTGAGAAATACAGGACTGGCCTTCAACAACGGAGTTAAATCAAAGCTCTACCGTCCAAAAGAGCAGCTTGCTGCATCCATTTCCTTTTGCAAGCGTTCGCTGGAAGCACACTTCCTGAAAGAGATCACACCAGAAAGTGGACTGGCCCTTCTGGCTTTTGCCCTAAAAATACCAGATGGTCGGTCTCGGCCAGGCCGATAAACACAATAATCATTCCAAGTCGTTGCGGGCAGCGGCTGATAAATCTCTGCAAATCCTTTGCAAATCTGACCGGCCCTGTTGTCCATCCAGTAAATTGTGGGCCCAACACGGCCGTGTCAAGAGAACTCAGAAACAAGGTGAGTGAGTGCAGCCCGGTGAGGCGGAGGCCTCTATCGGAGCAGTGTTTGTGTCGGAGCTCAGCCCTACCTGGACCTGCTCTCCCCGAAGAGAGTCGCTCAGAAGCGGCTCTGCCGGCGGCGTGTTTATGGTGACCGACTTTTCCGAGCGGCTGTCTTTGCTGCGGGACTTGTGGCGCTCCCGGTTTCGCTCCCTAAAAAAAAAAGAGAGACCAAAAGAGAGAAAAAAATCCACATTAGTGGGCGCTTCACGGCTTTAAAAAACTAACAATTGCACAGATTTGACATCCCGCCAGGGCCCTCCTGCAATGTCAGGTTTGACTTTCAGAATCGATCCATCTCTTGAGATCGATTAATCTCTTTGAGATGAACCCATTAGGCTGCTCGCTCTATAAACCGGCGTCCATCATGGACTTGCAAGCTCTGGGGGCTCGCTGAGTGAGCGTAAATCCCACGTGAACTCTGCTCCACATGCATCCCATCCCATCCTTGTTCCCTCCATGTGAGCTGCAACATATGAGCTCCATTAGCTGTGCTGACCCCCCCTCTCCCACACACACACACACACTCGCCCCCGCCTTGCAATTACAGCCCTAATCCTGTGTAGAGCGTGAACGGCAGGTAACCCCATCCCCAGCCCCAATATCCCCGTCGCCACATGGCCCAACGCCAACTCTGTGGTTCCATTACCAGAGAAAAGCTCCACAGGCTCAGCTAATCCCTCATCTGTCTCCTGCCCCCCCCACCCCCTCCCTTTGGCGCGTCAAGAGTTTCAGCACAGATCATCATGCGGAAAAGAGCAGCCAGATAAAAAAAAGACTTTCGGGCCATTCAGAGTGCATCCATTTCTTGCCTCGTTGTGTTGCAGTAATCGCTTGTGTTTGCTTTTGATTGTTTGGCCACACAGCACAGGGACAGACTGACCGATTACTGCCACTTTGAAAGGGCTTTTGCACACTGAGCAAACACAGCCAAACATCAGGATTCATCTGTAAAGGATCCTAAATTGAGACGGCAGGCCAAAAGATGCTGAATTGTTATCCATTGGGGGTTTCCTCAACTTGTTAGACGCAAATTAGAAGTATCGTTGACCTAAAAATACTGAATCATTATTGTCATCGTAAATCTAACAGAAACATAAAAATAATCGATGAAAAGTCTTAAACTGGGTGAATACAACCAATGGCGAGGAAGGCCACAAGACATAACATGACATGCTCTTGGATATTTAGCAGAAACCAGGCCAAAATGCTGATGCAGTGTGCAGGAAAAACACTAAGTATCTTTTAATCGTGGAAGAGGCCACATGCTGTTGATTAACTGAGGTTGGATTGACCTCATTATAACCCTTTAATTCCCTCTGTATCTTATTTAATACATGCTGTTTTTTTTAGATCTGTTGCATCTGACTTATAGCACGGTAATAGATGGTATAATATTTAATATTCTGTTAAAGGGCCAGATACAGACTTCAGACTAAAAAAAAAAAAGTATTGAATCTCCTCTCGATTTTTTCTTGGGTAAGGCTTTGAAGGGTTAAGAGCTGGTGTCTTTTTTCACATGACTGTAAATAACAGCCTGACAGTGAGCCACAAATGACCCAGACTCAAATGGGGCCTGTAGCTGTGTTCCCACACAGTAACGCAGAGGATGTCCTGTCTGCAGGGGTAATAGAGGAAACAGCCTGACTGACAGCAGTGGGAATATGAGCGTCCTACGGAGCCACGTTGGATTTAGGCGTTTTTGCTTGAAGGGTGTTCACCAGCCTGCTTTCCGCCTCTATTCTTGTACTTCCTTTTAAGTATGGACTTGATTTCCAACACCAAAAACACAACAGAGACTATTGTTCCTGCGCACAGCAGCCCGGTCTCACTGACGGACTTGGCCAACGCGGTCTTATCTGGTAAATCCAGGACATTGGGAGGGCTGATGCAAGCCTTTAAATGTATTACCTCCTTGGTTATTGCTTGAAATATCATTACTACAATTAGGATCCCCGTCCTGACGGGTTGTGCTGGCAGGAGCCGCCGCCAGCCGAAGGCAGGCGCTTATTACTCTTATTAAGAGGGAGAAGCGGCCCATATCAAAGTCATCATCAAAGTAATAATCAGTTCTCTGGAGAAAAGTCTGAAAAAGGCGGCGGCTGCGGAGTGGAGCAGAGAGCAGAGTGACCAGACACTAACGAAAAGTAATGTACTACTGCCCATTTTTCTAAAGGAGAAGGCAGCTGCAAGTAAACGTTAAATCCAATGGATCACAACCTGCTTGGTGACTGAACATCACATTCTGAGTGGAGGGAGCCATCATTTACCAACCGCATTCATTTGTGGGGTAACCATTATGTGTGAAGAAGCCATAACTCACAAGTGAAGATTGAAGCTGGTGTGAAGCCTGGAAGAGAACTGCCATTTCAAAGTGCAAGCTGTGTACTTCAGAGCAAGATTTTTGGCTTGTTTTTCCCCGTAGTACTCTCCTTTCTATTGGTTTTAGATCCGACCTGTTGATTTGTGATACAGTTTGTAGTCTGGATAGCTGACAAGCATTTACCAAATGATGACACACTGACGGAGGGTTCTGTTTGTTCTGGAGTAAGGGAGTGGTTCCTTTCCTCCCTTAGTTGGCTTTCAACTGGAAACTATCCCCAATGTCTGCACCGTGTTGCTCGGAAAGATTGGGTTTACAGCTGGGTGGTTAAGGCCAAGTCATTATTGAGAATACGACTGTGGGAAATGGCTGTTCAATGTCATCACCGGCCCACAATGCACTGGCCCATGACGTTTTTCAAAGAAAGCAAGGACCTTGGTGATAGAAGCAGGATGAATCCTTTAAAATGTGCGGCTCTGCATCGAAACGGGCTGAAACGCAGGGGCTAACAGACCTGAACGCAGCCAGGTAGCGGTTTGAACAGATTGGCTTCTGTTTACCATCTCCCCCCTTTCCTCCAGGCTGTTTTCTCCTCCAGGCGGTTTGGGGGGGGGTCTTCGCCTCCAACACATACACACACAATCCTCCCCCTTCTCACATCCTCTTCCTTCCTCATTAGCATGCAGCCGGCTGGCTGGAGCTCCGTGTTGTAATTTGATTAATGGAATCTGACTTCCAGCGTGGATCCCTGAAATGGGTTTAGCTTTTTTGGAACAGCGACGATGGGAGAGAGCAGCAGGAAGGGGCTCCATCAGGGCAGGGGAGCGGCCCTGTCAGCTCTCTTCTTCCCACCAACACCTGAAGTACGAGCACATTCTCTGCCTGACATGGGTGGGGAGGGGGTGCGGCAGTGCGGCCAACTAGACTAGAGAGGCATGCCAGACTATCTGTGGACCAATTTGGCGCCCGTTTCGCTTGCGGGGCACAATGTGGACACCTGTATGTCACAGATTTGCCTTCATTTGGTCATCTGAGCCCCAGAACTGGAGGAAAGCTTGGACACTGCAAAATGAAAAGTAAAAAAAAAAACTAAACAACCACTCAGTCAGCTCCATCAGACGAATAAACAAGCCGGAGTATCATGGAAAAATGGTTTAAAAAGTATATAAAGATGTCTCTTCGCTTGGCTTTGCTCTCCTAACTCGTACCAGCCTGGCGCGCAAATAACTGGGTTTCATTCAAAACCTGTGTGATTTATTTATTTACTGTTAAATCACACCAAATGATCATCCTAAAAAAAAAAGAGAAAAATGGGGTGCCACATACGGAACTGCCACGCATGTGACACCCCTTGGCACAAAAAGGATTACCTTCACAAGGGCTTTCAAAGGCAACAATTTAGCTTTTTGTGTCTGAAATTAGAGGCCAGCCGGTGGTTTTGGCATCGGCGTGGCGGCAGCGGGGGGAGTGGAATGGCGCCCGGCAGGGAGGCCCATATGCTCCTCTCCAGCTTCACGTCGCTCGTGTGAAACGCGGAGGAAGAAGAGGAAGAGCCTCCGCCACTGACATCACACTCACCCACCGTCCCTCTCCGGAAAATCGAGACCACTCTCGCTAACAGTGACTTTGAGCTTCAAGTGCAAATTCTTGCCCCCTTGGGAATGCGAGCGACCCATCCTCACATTCCACAAAGAGAGAGAGAGATCTCTTTAGAGGGCTGGACCGCTGGGGAGGTGTCCAGGGGGAAGGGAGAACATGGGTGGCTTCTGCATCACAATGTGAACACGGAGTAAAAAAAAAAAAAAACGAGCGTGCCTTCAATGAGGGGGGGGAGGAAATGGATAAAGAGGCCTGGCCTGATAAGTATGCAAAGTTAAGGGGGAGGCCGACGACATGAGAGGTCCCCGCAGGAGGCAACAGGTGGCGGCGGGAATGGGAGCGGCAGCGGAGATATACGGTCGGGGGGAGCTGTCAGCGAGCGGCCAGAGGCCGTGGTGGAACACGACCCCGCGCCTCATCCCTTTGCTCGGGCTCCGGCTGTATCCGCTGAGATCATCGGCCCGCCCGGCCTCCTCAGCACCTGTCTCCCGCCGCCTTCCTGAGGCCTGTCAGCCGCAGCCATTTGGCCGATGACAGGCTAATGCGGCCACGGGAGCTGCGGGGGCGCCAAACCAGGTCTGGTGAGCTGAGGGCGGAGGGGGTACAAATCCACCTGAAAGTGGCATTTCGCTCTTTAGATTCATTTGCATAAGAACATATCTACAACACATTAAGATGACGAAACAAGAACCTCCTGCAAAGACCGTGCAGCCCGTCCCTACGGACAGAAATTCTGGCCGCATCCTGGAGTTCCTTAAACTTCTGGGATTTAAATCGAATCTCTGGTCCCAAAGTTTCTGCTGGATTTGGGACAAAAGACTCCTAGCCGGGAACTTTGACGCGGGAACCCGATGAGGATTCGCTCGTACCCGTGTCGGTGCGAGCCCCGGGAGCGCCCAGAGTAGTGGGAGTAGCCCGAGTAGGTGGACTCCGTATCCATGGCGATGCGGTCCTGCTGAGGCTGCTGTGGTGGCGGCGGCGGAGCGCTGCGGGCTGTCTTGTTCGAGCTGGAGGCGATCGATGGGCCCCGGCTCAGGAGGCACAGGGGGGCAGCGGGCTGTCGGCAGTCTGGCTTGGAAGCGACCCTGCGGGCGCCCGGTGGGGAAACATCAACCTGGCGGAGTAAAAGAGAGAGGAGGACATACAGAATTCAATTCAGAATTTGAACCGTTAGGGAAACCTGCCCACATGTGAATGCTAGAGGAGACCGAACACCAAATCAGGCATTTAAAGTGGCCAAAACACACTCTCTCAGATAAGCCTGTGTCGATCTGCAGCTGCATTACACGCCAGTATTTCTGGCTCTGAACCCGCACAACGGCAGTGAGCAGCTCTGAGAAGGTGCCACTCCGACCGAGTGCTTCAGATAAAAGAAACACCTCAATTCTGTCGCTGCAATTTGCTCGTTTTCTCTTCTCTCTGGCAGCTGCTGTTCCACAGCAGGAACATTTGGAAAGTGAAACTGAGGTGTTTTCATGGCAGATGATGCTGCCTTCGAAAAGCCAGCTTTTCAGAGGAGTGGTTTAATGAGACATTTGGTGAGTTAAGTCTGGGATGAAAAGCACTGGAAAGGAGAAATCAACCTACACCCCAGTGTGTCATTATTATATCCGGCTGAGCAACACGGGGAATACTGTATACCGAGCTGCTAGCTGAGAGAAAAACGATCTATTATGGTCCGACTTGGAGGGAAAACACAGCTTACACATCGTGAAATGAAACTTGAGAACCGGGGAAAGGTGTTTGAAGTTGTAACGGGTGATTCAGGGTCAGGCTGAAAGCACATATTTGAGCAAATGCACACAGAGGGAGGGGGATAGCAAAGCGTGAGTCATAGGCGACTCAAGGCATGTTTCCATATAATTAACCGGCAAGACACACACACATAAATACACAATCGCAGTCTCTGAAACAGCTCTGAGACATGCCGATACTCAAATAGTTAAAACTTAACCGTAGAGTTCCATTTCCTTTCTGTTCAGATAACATTGTCTTCTGTGTGTGTGTGAGTGTGTGTGTGTGGGTGTGTGTGTGTGTGTGCACTTTTGAGCCTGGCTGCAGCCAATCACAAGTCTAAAGCTGTTCAGTTCCACCGGGCGGAAGACAAATATATAAACGGATGTTTAAACTGAGCTTTTATAACCATGAAAACAAAAAGCATTTAAGCTAAAAGTGAATGATTAGAATGTCTGGAAAGGCAATTAAACACCAGCCAACGTGGGAACTCTTTTCAACTCATCTAGATTCTTAAAGACTTCCATTTCTGCTCACACTGCCCCAACATGGTCTGAAGCTTCCCTTCAGAAGGAAAGCTGTCGGACCAGGCCGGGAGTCGGAGAGCCAGCTAACAGATTTATGGGCTAATTTATGGCTTGCCTTTAAGGTGATGAGAAACTGAACCAACAAGCTCTCTTCTCTGCCACCTAAGCAGCACAAAAAAAGAAAAAAAAAAACTCACTTAGTGCACAGGCAGCTCTCCCTCTTCTCTGCCACTTAGAAACGCACTTAACTCAGTCCAAAAATACATTGTGGCACAAAACATCTGACGTGACCCAGTTCTGAGGAGCGTGGCGGCGGCACCTCAGTGGCAGATGAGTGTGTGAGAGCGCGGCTGCTCTCATGACTGTCACCGAGTCCTAAAAAATGCTTTGAGGTGCTTCAGAGCTGCATATTTGGATGTGCTCATCCTGCAAATCATTTAAAAAAAAGCCTGAATCATCCTCACGTGGTGACAAATCCTCTTTCAAATGGTTCTCAGAAGTGTCAGGAGCAGCAGCTGCCATGCTGAGGGCGAGGAGAAGCAGAAGCCCTACTGTGATCCGAAAAAGAGACTTATTTTCATATCAATAATATCGAGTCTCCAAAGGGAAGCTGGTTGTGTTTTATCCTCTTGAAGGCGATGTGATGGAAATCTCTCGGGCTTTTCCCAATAATCTAAGAGTGAGGAATGTAAAAACGTTTGTCATAGGTAAAAGCGAGCTTAATTCTGAGGACGCAGAGCGGTACGGCTTTCAAAAAGACCTGTTCAATATTTTGGGGTATTGCCTGTTTTTATTTTTTACTGGAACAATTCTAATGAGAATCAGGTGCTGCATTCTTGAGCCACCCCTTAATTTTTCATTTTGAGGGGTTCCCCCCGATGTTTCAAAAGTTTCCATTTGGAAAAGTGGTAGCTTTTTCCGCTTACTTTCAGTCTGTTCAAAAGGCATCGAACTGAAGCTATTGCCCAGTGTGCCCATTAATAAGAAAAGAACACTCGAACACATTTAAAAAAAACTTAGAAAGATACGAAAAAACGTTTCTGCTTTATAGATAGAACTATACTAAATATATAGACTATAACTGTAGTAGGAAAATAAAATATATATCAATGAAACAAAGAGCGGTTGTTCAGTCTTGACCGCCAACTAAGCCAAAAAGAAAAGAAAAGAATCACACCTCAACAGATGTGTGAGGTTAAAAATCAGGCCAGGAAATGAGTCAGCCTGCATAGTGTTAGTTTGACTCTTTCAGTCTTTGAAAGCACAGTGTAAATGGATTCATCAACATCAGAGGGCTCTCATATTTCAGGCAGGCAACAGGGTGTCTCTCCTGTTTCTTTTCCGGAGTGGAACGCTCCGTTGGCTTTTTGTGGAAGTCCGTCCACGCTCATTTCAGCACGCTGAAACATGTTGAATGGCTTCCTTCATAGAAAAAGGGACAGAGCGCTGCTCCTTTCTGCACTGCGCTGAATATGAAACTAACCTCCACACAGACACACACACACACACACATATCCAATCCACCTGAGAGTTTGACTTGGTATGTTCCAGCGATTTCTTTCCTCTATAGATTCTCCTGATGCGAGGAGGGCACGAGTCGACATTTCACAGCTTTTTCCACTTGTCCAGGCAGCAGAACTGAGATTGGACATGCGGGAAGCTGTCTGAGCAGACAAGTGAAAAGAAATACGATGGCTTCATTCATTATTTGTGCTGAAAATGTCAGAGTGGAGAATAACTCAGCAGGAGTTCAGTTTACTATTCCCAAATATGAGATGACTGACCCATTTTTATTTATAGATAATGGAAACCTTTTTTTTTAATAACTTATCAAAGAGTAGTCACATTTTTAAAGAATTTTATTTACTCTACCCGGAGGACGAAATGGACTGTTGAAGCATAAATAATAATCTGCTGTCTTAAGATCAGAGGACAAACTTTTGGAAAGTCAAAAAGGGGGCATTATTTCAACCCCAAAATGATCTGCGGGGTAGTTTGGTTTCTGATGACGTCCCACAGAGATGACACAGGTAAGTTGCTGAATAAGCAAAACACCGCAGCCAACATTTTAACATCTCGTCCTGCCCATAGGGCCTGGCAGACGGCTAGAGAGGAGTCAAGCGTTATTTCTGATGCCATCACTCAGTGACACTAACCCCAGAAGCATATCTATCCAAGATAAGGACCAGATGCATTTTATCTCCCATTTTCCATCTTGAATCAAGGGAGGAAATGGCTTCAAATCCCTCCTTCCCTTTTCAGGAAAGGATAAATGAGAGCTATAATGAGCTCAAATTGAATGCTCTCATCTGACGAGATTAACCAATACTGATGCATCTCAGAATTGTTAAGGTCATGCAAGGATAGTTGTAATAACTACTTCTGAGCCAGCGACAACCAGAATTGCAAAAAAAACCCGACCTGCTGCTCAATTTTTGGAATATGCCGATTGAATAGTCTCTGCTAAGCAATGCTGACACATCACAGAGGAATTTCTAATACCGACACCTGGTCTAATCCTCTTTAAAGCATGGCCACCCAGTTTAATAAAGGATTAATAAGGTTAACGAGCGCTGGGCCCAGGTTCAGCCACCGAGCACGCACAAGTAGAATGGGCAGACGAGTGAGAGGCTAATTGATTACGTCCTCCTTGCGTAATTGTTTTCAGTGAAGAACGCAGGGTTCTGTGTCCTCACCGGCTCTAATGCCTCACCCCGGGCACACATCCTGCCAGCAGCGGACCCAGCGAGGGGGGCTCGGGTCTGAGGTCTGCGCTGGGGAGGAGTAAGAGGATACGCCGGAGTCCTCACATGTGGTTTCTGTCTCTGCTTTGCCGGGGTGAAAAAAAATGACAGAGCGGAACCACTTCAAGTTTGAGAGTCGGCAGCCGAAAAAAAAAAAAAAGGAATCCCCCCCGCTCTGGAGAGGGGGGAGCGACACCCCGGCAGGTTCTCCACAGTAACCCAAGACCCCTGCAGAGGTGCCGGCTTGTCTATTTATCCTGGCACACACCGGCAGCATGAAATAGGAGGAGAGCAGGGAGGGCACGGTTCTACCCCAACAATCAAGAATGAAGTCCATTTTGTGAATTTTACAACACTCGGTTGAACTGATTTCCAGGCTGATATTCCAGGCGTCTTTTTCACACTAATTTATTCTTTATCGGATGGCTTTGATTTGAGAGCAAGATGTGAAGCCCTGAGTATTTTCCAGCCTCTCTAAGTTGGAGGAGTAGGGCGTGGACAGTAAAACGCGGCCATCAGGCTCAGTCAGACGGGAGCGGATGGAGGTCACGCTTTTGTCTGGAGTTTTCTGAGACCGAGCGCCAACCCCGCTCCTGCTAAGCCCGTTCACATTCCAGGGAGAGATGCTGCAACAGGCTAAAGGGTTGTAAAATTCAGAGGAATGAGGCTTGGGTCTGAGCGGCATGTGGGGGCTGCTGTGGTCCGGGATACAGAGCTGCCCGGACCGCGAGACACTTCCTAAAACAGTTATGAACAGGGTCCGTTCCGTTTGATTGCTGACTAACAGGCTTAAACAACAAACCAGAGGGTGTGTGACAGCAGTAAGCAATACAGTCAGTGATCAGTTTGCTGGAGCATGTGTGTCACTTTGTAGGAGATCAGAACTCTCTCTATCAGCAAATCCTATTCTTTGCTTGCTTTGCTTTTACATGCACACACACATAAAAAATGTTTTAAAATCTACTTACATCTGGAGTTTTTCTCTGCAGTAATTTTGACAAGACAGGCTGCTAAAAAACTAGTAAAAATGAACTCGACAAACAAAAAGACAAAAAAAAAAAACCCTGCATGTTTTATGTCAGCCTCTGGGCTCACACTTGCTCCAGCCTGAGCTGATTAGAAATAATTTATGAGACTGACCTTTCTGTAGCTCTGAGGGGAAACTCCAGAGCACACGTGGTTCACTCCCAACCTACCGGACTCACAAAACTAAAAAAAAAAAAAAAAACTTTAAAAAAACCTGAGCGGACACATCAGGTTAGCTGGTCACATGGTTCTGCAGAGCGCTGAGGCAGGAAGGCGCTGACATGGGGAGCGGAGGAGGAGTCCAGGAGAGGACAGAAACAGCTCTGTTTTACCTCTGTCCAGTGGCAAATTGAGCATCTAATGAACCGGGGGCAGGACGACCCCGGTTCATTAGATCCTCCCTTTGCAATGGAAGCCGCCCTCCGTTCCTCCTGGTTGCGTAATTCCCGCCCAGCAAAGCCGGATCCCTAAATAAGCCCTTCGAGACATTGCCTCTTTTCTCTATTCTCTTTTGTTTTTACCGAGCCCCGTTACATGCAGCTGGAACTTGTGGCTCCTTCATTCACCCGTCTCCATGACACTTCTCCCGCTCCTCTCCTCTCCTCCCTCCATGCCCATAACACCCTCATAACACTGCCTCTATTATCACTCCGGTAACACACATCTCACACCTGTAACACCAGACACCCTGCACACGCAAAATAATATCTTCACTTCAACTGGGTTAGGTGGGTGGGGGGGGGGGGGGTAGCTTGCTGACGACCAGCAATCAGCAGACGCGTCCGAACAGGCCGGCCAGGGAGTCTGAACCCGGTCACATGCTCGATGTGTTCTTGTCCATGAGCGAAGCTAATGAGGGGCCATTAATTCTGCGGAATTCAATCAACATTCTCCAGTGACACCGGAGTGAGGGCCACAGATATCCGGCAGGATCTGAAAGGAGGCGGGGAGAGACGGGAGCAGACTCAGAGTCTCAGCTGTCATCCGGGGAGATTGGATACTTTGAATCCGTAGCAAAGACCGTTCATTATCATGCACCTGTGCGGCCCAGGAGTGACAATGTTAATTACAGATCTCTACCCAGCCACGTCTGCTAGGAGGAAAAGGCACGTCTCCATGACAATGACTCCCGGGGCCATTCGCAGTCGGCCTCTACCTGTTGCTTTTTAGTTTGTTTTTTTTGCTTTCTTCCTCTGGTGTTACTAGGCAACAACAATGAGCCTGTCCTTAGTGGTCAGTCATATGTATGGTGGCATCTACAACATTGTTTTAATCAATCTAACCCCCCCCCCCAAAAAAAGAAAACACACAAAGAGCCTCTTAACCTCCTCTAAGACCAAATGCTGATTCAAGTTCACTGGTGCCAGAGCTGCCCGAGTCACTGGTCACTGAAATGTCCAGAACCGAAGCCCAGATTACAGTTATTGACTTCCTGTTGGTTGGAAAAAAACCTGGCCTTCCTCTGGTCGCCCCTCAGTGAGAGATTTGTCAGATAAGCTGAAGGGAGTCAAACTGAAGCATCGCTTCAGATTTATGGTGCAGGACACCCCATATGTGGCTGTATGTGGCTGCAGTGCTGTCATAGTTTTTCCACTTTATAGTAGCTTCTAGGAATCTTTTTTTTCATTGCTCACCTCAATTTGTAATGCTGGTAAAACAGCCAATGGAACAATTTTACAAAGGCAGTTTACAAGTATGATAAGTATGACAAGTATGATACAACGTTTAAGCATTGAGTCACTGTCTGTACTCCTTTGACTTGCCCCAATTTGCAGCTATGCATCATCAAAAATAATAATTTTCCACATTAGATTGCAGCTCTGTGGTGTGTAAAGGAAAGAAGGTCAACAACCTGTCATACCTATGATGTATCAGAATCAGAATCAAGATTCTGACTTTGATATCAAACAAAACAGATCTTTACAGGCTTCACCGCACATGTATTCTTTTTAAGAGGACTCCAGCTCCCCCTCTTTTGCACCTTTTTCTGGAAGCAACAGGCGTAACCTGTGTGCAGTCACATGATCTGTGCTGTCAAGTGGATTTCCTCTGGATAAAGTTCTAGACTTTAGCACTTTTAAAAACCAAACTAATGTGAAACTGCACACACGCAGACGAACCAGCCACACATGGATTAGTATGATAATAAAAGCCAAGGTGAAGAAAAGGCAGAATTTTTTAAAATGTGTATGTGACATGCTACAGAATAGAAAATGCATGACATTGGGGAAAAAAACAACAACAGATAACTCAGAAATAACTGATGGAGGAAACAACCTTTGGAAGGCTAAAGAAGCGCACGAGCCATTCTTTAACCAGCCAATCATAACAAAGCCTTTGTAGTGGGGTCTTGCACTGCCACTGCCACTGTGGCACACAACTGCAGTACTGTATAGCACCCACAACTGAATATGTCACTAAAAAATTGATGCCGCCACTTTTGCCTCCTTGGTCGGAAGATTGCACATCCTTCCATATAAATAGCTTTTCATTTTGCTAGAAGAGAGGTGTTTTCCTGGCATCAATTTCTAGCCAACGATCCAACACAAACACGCTGAACATGCACTCCATTACTAGAGTATTAAGCAGTCCAATACACCAGTCCTACAATAAGTTTTGACATAATGAGTGGCAACTGTTCACAATGAGCTGAACAGTCTAGCAATTGTGATGGAAAATGTAGGAAGATCAACGCTTTAGAATCCGTTAAATATTAGAAGATAAACTTCATAAACTACCAACTGAGCACACATAAACCCTTACTTCTGGGAGCCTTTAAGAGGCCCCTTTTAGCAAAAACCAGACCCACTTACAGAGACGGAAAGCGTGGAAGAATCTATGTCCATAGCCGACATCAATCAAGGCCTTTACTAACTCATCCCTCATCCCAAAGGTTGAAAAAAACGAGTGTTACGGTTTGGATGTTATGCTGTTTTCATGAGTGTTTTTGTGTCCATCAAACTGCTGAAAATAAATGTTTGTTTTACTGAAATGTTCTTGCATTAAACAAACCAAAAAAACTAATTGTTCTATCTATTTAGTTTTGTTTTTCAGATTACTCTATATAACAGCTGATAAAATCCAGATTTTGTTTTAACCAACACAATCTTTAATGAACAGTAAAAAGGCCAAGTTGTTTGTAAATTTATATATACATATATATACACACACTCACACACATAAATATAGATGGGGATATTATTATGCTACAGGACTACCAGTTTTTTTAGATAGATAGATAGATAGATAGATAGATAGATAGATAGATAGATAGATAGATAGATA